TGGAAAAGAATCGTGTTCCGATCCCTCGAAAACTCTCTTCCTTAACGACGAAGCAGGTTCAGGTTCTACTATATGTATCATTAAATTAGAAAAGAATTTAATTACTTTGTATTTATTATAACAATTTGACAAATAGAGAAATTATAACATGACTTATAAATTTAGGAAGAAAAAGAAAAGTGATGGAGCCGAAGTTTGAAGCGCATGGGGCTTTATCTGCGTGGTTTAGTGTTGAACTCAATATTTGTTAGACTATACAAATGAATCGATCGTTTCATCCCCTTGAAATAAGAATGCTTCTTTGACACTGATCTCTTAATATTTTATTCCTTAAGAGGTGTCGCAGCAAAATTTAAAGCAACTCCATATTAAGAGAGGAACATTTCTCCGATTTTGAATAAGTTCGCAACACCTTGCGCTACACAGCGCGAAATATTAACATCGGAGGAAACTTTCGCGTCCAATTTGCGAAAGGAGTAGAAAAATGGAGTGCGCTTGTCGCTCGGATCGGTCGTGGCTCATTTTTCCTGGGATTCCCCGAACACGCCCGGCCACGGTGATTTATATTCGCGTACGTTGCGAAGTTTATCTTCGCGAAAAGGGACGGAGGATGCTGGGGGGGGGGGGGTGTGATACGTAACAGTTTAGGAAATCCTCGAAAAGTGCTTTCCCACGGCGTTCCCTCGTTCGCGTAAACAGCGAGCGGGAAATCGTCGTCAGACCGAAATCTAAACACGCTACGAGTCGCGGGAGTATTTGAAATTTACATGAGAAAACGTGGCCCATCGTTGCACCGTGTCCCACCAACGAAACAGCGTTTTCAAACGATGAAACGATAACACGATCGGCCCCTTGAATACAGGATTCACGGGTGAATCACTGAGGAGCGTCTGGGAGCCTATTTTTTCGAGTAACGAGCCAACCGGCAGGTATCTCGGAGAGGAAGCGCGGTCTTGGACAAAAGACTTCTTAGTTGGAAGGGTGCATTGTGTCTATCGAAGCACCAGAGCCGGTTTCGAGGAGTCTTCTCGTTGGTCTTCCGCAGGTCGGACGACGGAGTCGAGACGTCGATCCGTGGGATAAGTCTCCCGGAAAAGATGCTCTAATCCCTTAATACCCTCGTATCTCGAGCCCCTTCCACGCCAACGGAAACACTTTCTAGCGTTCGTCAACCTGCGTTCATTTGGAACAGAAGCGTGAAACGCTGGAAAAATGGTCGCTCGAGGTTGCGTTCTTAGGGCGAATGAGTGAAATCCGGCCCAAGACACTCTTTCTCGGTCAGTCACTCTCTCTCGAGTAAAGGCATAGCGCCTTCTATAAAAATTTTTTGTTTAGAATAGTTATTAATATTTCCGCGTCTTAAATTCCTAACCACGTTTCACCAAGCACCCTGCACAGTCGATTATACGGCACTGCGATTGAGATGTAATCGAGAGCGTATCGACAACCATTGAAAGTCGAAATTGTAATTGGGTACCAGAAGTTGAAAACGTTCGTTGATTGAAACACAATTAACGATTTGCGCGCAATTCTCTCTGGAATTTGGTCCGTACCGAAAGTGAAATGCAATCGGTTGAGAAATATTGATTTAACACTCTACTGCGTAATATGTTTGAAACTCGGTAAACACCGCTGTAAATTTAAACGAGGAATTTTTACACAATTTTCGCATATTATTGTATGATGTTGTTGTACGAGGTATCTAAAAATCTCACAGATTCAATCACTTGTTTAGAATACCAAAAAGAGTTCTTGCAAGATAAAGTAAAATTGCAACGATAGAAAATTAAAATTCTCGTGCGATTATGTTAATACATTCGCAATCGCTGACGTGAATTCACGTCAGTTCAAATTCTATTCCTGATTATGACAAAATTACGAAAATCTTTTAATTTATACACTAAATATTTACAACACTGATATTTCAAAACATATTTTTAATTTTCATCTTCGTCCTAGCAGTACAAGTTTGCGATGTCCAGCTTCAGAATTTTATTGTTTTCGTCGGTACTCGGTATTAGAAACGTAAAATATCTGTTGGTCACTAATGTGTTAATAATAATTCCACGCAGGAGGATTATCTACTTCCAATTACTATGCCAATAGGGTCGTATTCCTGACGATTCCGGTCAACATTAATTTTCAATTTCATAATTCCGCGTATGCGACTCGTTTCGCGTTCCAGCGTTTAAAAAAGCAGCGGGGGAAACAGCGAAATTATTGCTTGGCATGGCGTTCGAACATTTCATTAAACTGGCGCGCTGACAAACGTACAGATAGCGGGGAACGGCCAGGAAGCCGACGTCAGCGGAAGTACTTTTAAAGGTAACCAGTCGTGGGCCAACAATTTCTCTCCTTCTCTTTCGCTCCTTTGCTGAGAACCTGATTAGTATGGCACCGAAAACACAAACGCCGTATCGACGTCTCGCTTGGCCATGACAGGCGATTTAATTCGATTGTCGTCGCCGGTTTTCGTTGCTACCATTTATTATTTCTCTTTTTCATCGCTTATACTCCAAAATATTCCAAAGCGATGAAAAGTATAATCGCGTGTCATATTTCACATTTTAATATTGTACGTGTTTCATATTAAACGCTCAGTATGAGAGAACTGTATTCGGTTACACTTTTGGGAAACCGCTTGCAATCATTCATATTTTGTCTTTGAAAAATGTATATGCTTTTGGTGAAGTTTATGTATTCGCAATTGTAGTCATTGGACGTAAGTATTTCTCTAAATTCTTATGCTACGCAAACAGTTTGTAATGTTAATAAAACTCGGTAAGAAATGCATCAGATTTTAACGAACTTCCCTTTTAGAAATTCCGAGTGCTCGAAAGTCCTCTACTTAAAATGAATGTGAATTTAGTCAACTTGTCGCATCTTAAAAAGAGGTTGTGTCATCCAATCGCGATAAATTTTCTAGTAATGTACCAAAAGGGAACCAAACGAAGTTCCGTTTCATAAAACAAGTTTCTCTTCAGCAAACGTCTTCCAGAACTGGTTACAAATCATAATTCTACGCGAAGTACAGGCCAATGCGGTCATTCGTCGAGTTTGCAATATTTTATGAGACCTGGGACAATGAGTTTGCGAACTTACATTGAACCGTACTCGTTTCCCTTGACAATGAATTTTAACCGTGTCTGGCGAACGAGCTTCGAGGGAATAAGGACAAAAACAATTGGTTTGTTTCGTTGTTTAACGAGGAACAAGAGGAAATTCGATTTTTCGTGTTATTCATTCAAATTTCATGGTAGATCTTTTGTCCTAGGCGGTTCAAAGAGAATGCTACGGCACAAAGATTTTCGCGATGTTGTTAACAGTCCTATTTCCAACGCAAATGGCGATCTTGAAATTGCGTCGATTTACGAGAGTCTGGTTACGAAACATACATCGTCTTCTATCACTAGAACTGTTGAATCTCTTTCGAAATAAATAGATTAATATCGTGAGAACTTATTCATAAAGATGTTCCAAGTGACATAAGTTGATAATGGAATTTACGTTTGTACCAGGAATTAAATGATAGAATTCTTGTTTATTCCAAACAGAAAGAAAACATAAGTGAGTAGATGCAAAACTTTCTGTCACGGAGTGTGTTCGTTGGTTGCCAGTTACGCAATAAATATGTAAACGCGTAGCCTTGAGCAAACGCAACACGATACAGATATTCCTGGTAATCGCGTGTTTCAGCTGACGTGATTCATTTTTCACGAAGACCCGCGCATAGAATGAGTTTCCGCCTCATTACGGATTCATCTTCCGGTTCGTGAACATCGAGAATTGCTTCTGAGCGTACTCGATCCCCGGCGTCGCGACTTTCATACATCGAAACATTATGCACAGACTCGTGGATGGTTTGAAGAGGGAAATAAATCACTTTTTTTATGGGAAAGAAAAGTACCAGCTATACAATAGACATTTGACACTTCAATCGAACATCTTTCATTCGTTTTAAACGACGATATCGACACAAGTGTGCGTGCTTCATTTTTATTTTAAAAGCTTCCCGAGAGTTTCAAGCGTCCAATCGTTTAATTTTGAAAGAGTTCTCTCGCGATGATATCACACGATGCTAAAAAATGAAGAGGAATCGATTATCTCTCTTCTTTGGCGACGAGCGACCCTTTCGTCGCATTTCTGTTCGAATGTAATTGAATTAAAATTTCGCAGTGACTATGAAATGGCGCTCGACAATGCGAACAGGGGTCGAGGCAATTGCGCGGGAATTTGATTTCGAGCGCAGAAATTGAATTAGATCGCAAATTTGTAAGAGTCGATGGCACGGGTAATTAATTAACAGCCGCAAAAATAATTATTGCGTGATAGTTAATTGAAGAGACCGTCCCAGCGTGTCGCGCTTTTCCTTTTTCCCGAAACAGTTTCGCAATTTCGCCCTTCAAGTAATTCGCTCCAATAGGAATTCACTTCTTGACTTTAAAACACGACAGGCTAAAGGACTTCCGTTTCATTATGGAGATTTTTAACTATCTAATTATCATTCGACGTCGGGCGAAGCCGTAACACGCGAATTATTATTCCGAGAAATTATTCTCGAGGGACCTACTAAAATCCCCTCCTTGGTTCTTTCCATCGTTACGGAATTAGGGTGGAAGATCCCATCGAGAGGACAGAGCTCGTAATTACTCGAAATTTACAATACACACACGCACATATACATTACACTGTACATTAAAAAAAAAATAATAATAAAATCGTAGGCATGCTGTTCAAATCGTAACGCTATTCCCTCGTATCATGGATCAAGATTTTCCCTCCCCAAGGTACCCACATAAATTTTTGGAACATCCCACAAAAAGAAGCCAAGCTACCTGTCGTAACCACGCAATAGATCACCAGCCAGGGGATCAAAAGTTTCCAAAGTAGCCCTACGAGAGATTAAAATACCTTCTCCACCGATCAACGCTTCCGACGACCCAGCGCCAATCCGGGTTCCAAGCTGTAAACTAATTTTATTTCGACCTTTTTGTCGACAGGACGTGGAGTTACTGGAGGGAACCATTCCGTCGGACGTGATGGAGGTGGAGGTGTCCCACTGCAGGGAGTTGAGGATCCAGTCTGGAGCGTTCGCGGACGGCGCACCTCTGAAGCGTGTTCACGTGTCGGGGATTTACAGCCTGGTGGCCAAGAGGCAGGCCTTTCAGAACCTGAGTGCCCCCAACACGCACTTAGAGGTGTCCGAGTGCAACAGCGTAATCCTCGAGAGTCACGCGTTCAGGAACTCGAGGGGGACGCTGAGCGTGTCGATATCGAGATGCAAACACGTGGGGATCAAGCCCAACGCTTTCTCGCGATTGCTTTGGATAGCAGTCAAGGAGGTGCCCACTCTGGACCTGTCCAGCAACGCGTTCAAGCTCGAAGCTTCTCAGCACGGCCGACATGGACCAGCGACCAAGGTCGGCAGATTTATACAATTTTTAAATTAATTCTTAATTTAACAAGCCAACTGTAGTTCTAAATTAAATTGTACAATAACAAGGATTTATTGAATTAATATACAGTATGATAGACTAGCTGCCTTTCCACTAAGACTAGTCATTTGTACCATCATGATAGAAACATGTTTAGTATTAATTTACAAACTTATGAATTCTGAAGTTGACTCTAGAACGAAGAGTAATAGCTTCTTCGACACTGCAGAATTATCAATCCCTAATTCCCACACATGGTCCTTCAACATTTGCTATTTATGTAGCTGCTGGGATTTTACTTCACCAACCCTTTGAATTCTTCGTCGAATTTCGCCTGTATTTTATATTAGCACAGAGGGAATTTGATTAATTTTGTAATTCAGCAGATCTGTGAAATCTCTCTGTGCTGAATTTTAGCTGAAGCTGGAATTTTGTTTAATCATCTCTTTGCACTATACCTGTGTCGAAATTCGATCAAGTTTTATAGTTGCGCAGGGGCTTCAATTAATTTTCTTGTTCAATTTTTCTATACGATACATTGCTGCTTTGTTAGTCTTTTATTCGAATCTGGCGCCATTGTTTTTCTCCGCTGGATATTCGATTTCTACTCTACACGGGCACACATTTTATTTGTTTTTATTTTGGCGAGTTGTTATCGCAACCTGTGGCAAAATGCAAACATTTTACGGGCGCGTATGTTACCGTACTAAATTGAAATCCACAATACACGTGTGTTTACAATTCTGCTTGAACAATTCCGACGATGTATCGATCCGAACGATTCTGACACTCGAGGATGTAGCTACTTATTATTTGAAGTGGCATCCGATTAATTACGCGAGCATATAAACAGCCAAGAAATAATTTCATTCGGAAAATAAATAGAATTGACAAGATAGGATTTGTTTCTCGAAGGAAAGAATAAAATTCAGGCATCAGAGAGTCAGTCATACGACTCAACTCTTTGAAGTACACCTTCGATGAATTCGTGATATTCAGCATTCGTGAAAACGACCCGAATTTTCATCAAAATTCGCGAACCCGTCACGTTTATAAAAAGACGGAGTCTAAAGCCGCCCCTGTTTATTTGCTCGTTCGGCGCGGGCAGGAATAAATCAGCCGATCGAGGAATTATCTCGATAAACGTGCATGGAACACGCTTCCCTATGAGTTGGCAGCTCTCCAACAGCTGCACCAGTCTTCCTGACGATTTTCCTATAATCTCGATTTCTGATCCCACGACCTAGATTATGTTCCAAAGCGTGAGAATCACGGAGCTACCGACGGCGGTGTTTCCATCGGCGATCGCGGAGGTTCGCATGGACGATATCTGGACGAAAGTGATCCGCAAGGATGCCTTCTGCGCCATGACGATCTTCAGCGTGACCATCAGCAACGCGTCCATCTTGGAGATCGAGACTGGCGCGTTCAGCGACAGGGCCCTCATCCAGAGCCTCGAATTCGTGGATGTTAGGTTAAAGAGCATAGAGAGGGGTGCCTTCAAAGCTGGTCACGACAATCTCACGATACAATATTCGAGGTAGGTTCATGGTTTTTATTGTAAGCGAATTTCTATTCGCGATAGTCTGCTCGCGATCAAAATTTGAATGAATGCGTGGAATTACAAATCTAATCTGTGCTAAAACTCTCTACTGTTGTATATTACCAAAGTTATCCTGGCCATCAGGACAAAAAATAAGTCAAACAGTCGCGTTCCTCGATAATAAACCAGCCAACTAGAATCCAACTTCCTTCCACAAACAAGTTGCAATTAACCTCCCAGGTACGTGAAGAAAATGTCCCTTTCACTTTTCCAGACTATCCGACGTGGAGACCGGTGCCATCGACATATCCGCCGCCACGGTCAGCTTCAATAACAACGAGTTTCAGAACCTGCACCAGGGCGCGATCGTTCTGCATCAGTGGAACCACATAGCCATCGACTACAATCTCTTCGTCGACCTGGCAACCGACGCGATCATGGCAGAGGTGGACGCGACCTCTGCTCCCAACTTCGAGTTCTCCTTCACGGGAAATCACATCCAAAGAGCACGACCAGGTTCTCTGAAGTTCGCCGCCATCTCCCAGCGAGTGAACACCGCGCGCGTCGGCAACAATTACTTCAAAGAGAAGTGCAGCTGCAACCTGGACAGTTGGATCCGCGAGGTGACGGGCAAGAACAGCTCCGTCTCGTGGATGATGGACTCCAGCTATTGCGTGGTCGACCAACTCCTGGACAGGTGTTTCAACCTCCCACAGGGCTACATGTCCATGAGGAACTTCACCAAGGTAAACAAATCCCTCTTTTGATTAATTGTCGATAGTACGAGTAACTCATTTGGATGATATCAACCTCAAATGGGAGGTGATTTGTTAAGCTGTCTTCACCTCAACTAAAGATACCCTTCATAATAACATAACGAGTATTTTGCCTCTGCCTTTCCTCTTCCTCTCTATTCTAAGTCTTGTATATCTTCATCAGCTGTTACGACAGCATCTTTCCAAAGAGAACCCCAGGTGGTCGAAACGTAAACGTCGTAACAAGCCACATTTCATTTGCTCCAACATCCAAATAAATTACTCATACTGTTCGCAAAGGTAATCTGCACGGCAGGGGATCACATCAACTGCGAGAAGCCGTCAGCGAAGCCAGAGCCAAGCGTCAGTCCTCCAAGCGTCGGGCCTCACGTCTATCCGAGGCGCAAAGGCTACTTCGACCTGGAAATGAGCGACTCGGAGCAGCTGCAGCGCGAAAAGAGGATTATCGTGGTGATCTGCGTGGTGGCAGTGTTCATCGTGCTAGTGGTGATCCTGGCCTCGGGGATCCTGTATATGCGTAGAAGTGGAGTGTGTCCAAAGCTAACGTCGGGTCACTTGATGAATCTCACCAGCTGGCTATCTCCCAGCAGTGGTATGACCGCGGCCACGTCGGCCAGGTCGATCTCGAGGCTCAGCGTGCACGAGTACGCAGGTCTTCAGCCAGAAACGAGGATTCTGGAGGTGGAAACTCAGCCAGAAGCGACGGACGACGAAGAGGGTGCCGAGGGACTTTATCCTTACACGGAGAACAAGGCCACGCAGACCCTACCCGAGGAACTCACGGAGGAGTACCTGAGGGATCTCAGAGAGAGGCTGAACGATCCTGACAATTACAACCAAGCTAGGGACATGATCGAGCACTTGTACGATCTCATCAAGGTCGAGGAGAGTTGCAATAATAACAATGACAAACAGCCAACGGATAGAGAGGAGAACGCCTACGACGTGATTCGACCTAGAAGAAAGAACAGGGGTCCTCCGAAACCTTCGATCAGCGTAGGCACCAAAGCTCCATCGTTAGAGAAATTGCTACCCAGCGGAATAGAGCCCAGGCCACCGCTGACGGAGTACACGGAGCCTCGAGACCAAAAACCCAACGAACAAAACTACTTGTACGCGGAACTACCTGGCGACGAGACAGTTCCCAGCACCAGTCGACTTTCCCAACCTATCCTGGCTACCCTTGCTGGAAGAGCCCCGCAGCCACTACCCCCAGACGTCGTCAACGATCACCTCATCAACGCTCACGCAAGCCAAATATTCGCCAGCCCTAAGACTGAAAACCACAGACCCCCCGATAGTCCAAAGTTCGAGCCAATCAGAAACCAAGGCAGGCCCATGAGCTTTTTGAAAGCGCTTGGCGAGAGCATTCTTGGCTCGAAGACGACCAACAAGAGGCCAAACTCTCTGCTCTGCGAGTACGCCGAACCGTCCGACGCTACGGCTCACCTTTACTCGGAACTACCTGAACCCCAAACCTCGACTCCGGCCAGCAAGATGGCGAACAGGCCGCTGCCCACCAAACCCGACCAGGATTCCGTCAACGCGGCGAGAGCATAACGACGCCCTTCGTCGATTGTCTGTGATATAAACTGTTTACGCTAGGAGAACGAAAACTGAGCCAATCGTTCTCCAGTTTCTTCCTAATCGTTCGTAGGTGACGATGTTCGCGAATGGTGATCGCGTGAGTGCTCCGGAAGCTCCGATGCGAAGAGACGCTGAGCGGACTGAGATACGAGTTTGTTACGGGACTATTTTAAGGTTTGTAAAAAGATAAAGACATTTAACGTGGAGGATCAACGGGGATGTACCATTCTCCGTGTGAGTAGAGTGCAGTAGTGCGCGTCTAAATGAGAGAAATCGGGTGGTTCTCCATTACTAGGTCGCGGGTTCATTCCAGAATTTGGTGTCGAGTGAGATACATCAAAAGTGGGAGGAATCACGAGTACATGTCTTCAGGTGCTCGGTTAGCGAACTTCGAAGCGGTGCCGATGCCAGCAACACAGTTATTTGTGCATTTATGAGGTTTTCTTGGTAAAAAGAAATCGATACATGGGCTCATCTGAGCTATTTTTAATTGTATCTAATAGAAAGTTTATTAAAGAGTATTCTGATGTTTGATCGAAAACATTGCGAGTGAAAAGCGCTGCACCGCTTTAAAGTTCGATGTCAGGAAGAACATTAATTTTAGCAGGGATGATTCTTTCGCAATTTTCCGGGGTGAAATTTTCTCATTTAACCGAGCACTGCTGCAGCTAATCGTCCGACGAAGAGCAACGAAAGACGAGTTTTATTTAAACGACTGGCCCCGAAACCGCGAATGTATCATAGATTTCTATATATTTGCTTCGTCAGGTATTATTAAAGGAGTATTTCACATCCTTCGTCTGTCTTTCAATCGAACCGCAACGGCCAATTTCAGCCTCCCTCCTCATCTCCTCCGTCGTGGCTTCATGGAATTACCTAGATACCCGTGCGATATCCAACTCCAATAATTCTTGGCTTCGAGTTCCCTCGAGACTGCGGCAATACGGTCGACAGCACCGAATCAGAAATTAATCTGGAAGGGAGGATAATCTACGAAAACGATAACTGTTATCTAAGTTGCCCTGCTTCGAGTTTACCTCCATTCTTTAAATACCTCGTGACAGATTAAGTTCTATCCTCCAGCGATAGCATTGCGTCGCTTGAGAGGACTCTAATTTTAAATTGGATACGGCAAGGAGACTTTCGTTATTCAGCTAATTCTTTAGAAATAAATGAAATAAATGGGTCATTTTCGGAGGTGTGAAAGAATGTTTGAGGCAGGAGTTGTTTGATTCCAGACGGAGATACTGAGGGCGTTTCAAGGTCATTAATTTAAAAGAAGATATAACGGAATGTTTTTCTATTTACCTTGCAGTCTAGGACCACTGCGGAGCAGTCACGAAGAAAAATATTTTGTTATCAAAGATAGATGTTAGAGGAATGTGCACGCTTTAAAGATTTAGTGCTGAAGAAGTACTCGGTTTCGAGAAAAATAGATACATGAAAATAATCACAAAATGAATAATTATAAAAGTTTGGAAAAATTCCACGGGCCACGTTCGACCATCGCTGATATTTAAATTTCAGTAGAATCGAAAGTCTTAGGATTCCGCGATTTGGTATGACCCTCTTACGGAAAGCCCTGGATGTTGGGAGCCATGCCCGTTTTCTTATCTCGTGGAACTTTATAATTCCAGCGTTGCTCCCGATTCGAGACCCTCCTCCTGGCGTGCCTCCCTCGGTCGAGAACGCGTTTCGAGTTCAAGGGTCGACACGGATATTTTTTCTCATTCTACGAGGGAACAGTGGTGCTCGAGGTGAGCGTCTCGCGGCGCGTACGAAAAACGGAGGAAACGGTTAGGTTCGGCGGCCACCGAAGCCCTCGAAAAGATATTCTTAATCTCTTTCGTTCTATGGGCGTAGTCGGTGTATGTCCGCGGCGAGACCAAACTATTCCACGAAGAATGTAACAGGAGCAAATAGAGACGGCTAGCCGGGGCGGGCTGCGATGCAGCTGTTGATGTTCAAACGGCTGTTGCCTCTCTGTCTCTCTTTTCCCAGATCCCTGGTGAAAAGCAGAAAACTTCCAGAGAGAAAGAAGGGACCGCCACTACCGCGAAACGTCCAGAACAGGTGAGAAAATGCACCAATTATCGTAAAAACCGAATCCGCGAGCGGCTGAGAAATTAATTCGTCCCGTCAGATTGATCGTTAATTAACTTCGCGGTATTCGCGCAAAGCTAACAAAGACGTGAAACTGGTCTTCGGAAATTGATCCAATGCAAACATCCATAGTGTGTTCGGCACACATCGCTTCAATATAATTCTGTTCCTACTTGCTCTAAGCTGGAGCCTTATTTGCCTAATGATTAACTTTGCTTATCTACGTTAATTTTGTTCGAGTACATCGATTTTAAGTATAGACCATCGGCAGGATTGTAAGAGGACAGAAAACTTTCATATTTATTTTTCGTGACCAAAAGTGAGTCCAAAACTTATCGAATACATAAAATATTGTTCTTGGGGTATATTACGCTAGAGCCGACAACCCATCGTTCACACGTTTCTATTTCTTTAAATTTTCAAATTTTTTTATCCAGTTCTTATATGCTATACTTATATGAATTATATACAATTGTTTGATGCATTATTCAATTTAGTTCCACGTAAAATATTTCTACATTTAATTGGAAAAGGGTCTTTAAGACCAATCATTTGTCCCATCGCGATAGAAACAGTTACAAATGAATATCGGTAGGTTTAGTGTTGATAGGCCACCTGCATATTAAACAGAGAATTACCGAAACGTTTCTAACGGTGAAAAGGAATCGTTATTCCATTTATTTACAAAGAGTAACAAAAAAGTCCGCCCCAGAAGAACGCGTGCGAGTAAAGCGTGCCTTAAAATCGCGAGAAGCTGGCTCGATATTGAACGGATCGCTATTAGAGACAATGTACCGTGAAAACGTTTTATCGAACGGTCAGAAATCCAGCGTAACCGTGAAAAACAAACGCGATATTTCTTCCACGGCCGATTCCTCTGACTTCGTTCCAGGGGGTGCTATCATTCGTGCGCTTTGTCACTGGGTAGTTTGTCGACAGGCCACGGCCGCGATACCGAGTCAACTTATACGAGGCGATCGTCCTATCTCGCGGCGATCCCTAGGATTGTTTATGGCTGCCTATTTCTCAGATAAGGGTGCGATTTTTCTCGACGACCGGTTGCCCTGGAGAGCCACCGAGGATGAAGCCAACCGGTTCTCCCGACGACGCGTCGTTCGTTGCCTTCCGTTCACTTTAGATCCCTCTGCTACCCCGGAAAACAAAACGAACGATTTAATCGGAACTGTTCCACCGAGAAATGTGAAACGTTCGTAGAGTCGAAATGACGAACGGTACAGAGTCCTTGGAATAAATCAAAATATACAATCGAAACTTTGGCGACACACGTACCAAACCACTTATTCAATTTATATCCAATGAATAAGGAGCTCAATCTTTCTCTTCATCTCAAAGATCATCGGAATCAAGAGGAATGGTCGCAAGTTAACAAGTCATAAGCCTCATAAACGATTACGTATTCGAGGATCATTCCCCAATTCGGAACCGACAAGAGAAAGCCTCGAAACAGGCCAAACGATCCAGTGAAGCCCATGAGCGAAGGGAAAGTTTCGACTCAACCGGAAGTGTACGTAGCATCGTCAGCTCGATCCATCGAGGTACAGCGACCGAATAATTCGCGGCGAGGCAGCGGAATCGAGCCTTCTCTATCAGGTTTCATTAGCGTGTCAATCATCTCATCACTCGGATACGGTCGCGGACCGCTATCGCCTGTTGGCAGTAGCCTAACCCGTTTCTCTGGTCCCTGACCTAATCTGCGGCGAGATAGTAGGAAAATCGATCGAGGATCGACGGTGGTCGTCTACCCGTCGCCGCGATCAGCTTATCGGAATACTGAAATCACTGGCGGAGCCGGTCAACGGCTTATATTAAGTCCCAGCTTAGACCGTAAACGCGTTTTCCATCTCGGGACCTCTCCAGTCTGCGAAAACAGCTTACGTGGGATATAATGTATCGGGACAGTGTAATTGGACGGGGCTTTGATATATTCTGCGACGCGTCAGCCTAGGTGTATCGACCGGTATTGTTTCGAGAGCAACTGGGATCTTGCTGGGGCGACGGAGAGGAGGAGACGGTGGTCTGTCGTTGACGACGGAACGCCAGATGCTACCAGGTGACACGAGTTTCATCTCATCGCGTCTATTCTCGAGCGATAGGTGTCAGCTCGAATCTTGGATCTATTAGGTCGTGGTAAACAGGTGTTAGAGAAAATTATGATTTTCAATTCTGGTATACTACAGTGTCTATGTATATTAAGTGAGGATTTAATATCCACAGTATCGTATTTATCGAACTCAGGAAATTCAGGAAACAAGCTTTTCGATTTCATCGAATCTCATTTCTACGCATTCTACTTCCATTCTATACATTTTTCACTCGTCTAATAGCCCTCCCAGCCCCGTCCGAATGAAAAATTGTGACAAGTAAAGAGCGCATCCACGGTTATTACGAATTTCACGAGAGGCTCGACGTCATCGGCGTCATCGTTTCAAACTTTATGGAAAAGCGCACTAAGCCGGAGCGATTCAAGGTATACGACCAGGTGACACCGTACTGATCGACGAACGGCCAAACTTTCCGTTCGGGCTTCTATCCTGTGGTCATATACCGGGTGGAGCGTCCTTAATATCCACCGAGTGTTCCTTATGAGCACGGTGTGTGTCACGTGTCGCCTGGATATTAGACCCTCGGTCTAATGGACCTTTAAGCCAAATATCGCTCTATATAGGTTTACGTGTATCACCAGCGATTTCTTCGTAGTTTCCAATCGGATAATGGTCTCTTTTCAAATGTGGAGCACGTTTCGAGGAAAATTCGCTCGAACAGTGAAGATGTTAGAAACAAATAGCGGGATCCTTTTCAATATTGTTGCTTTTAACCTCGCTTGAACATTCGACGGCGCGAAATTTGTGGAAAGTATATACAATACGTTGTTATCCATGCGTTCAAGATTTCAATATTAGGAAACAGCGCGAAATGTGCAGTAACCGTACACTTTGGACCTCCATTTTCGTTATTTCTACCATTATACTGTTACGCGCCAGTGACACGATTCGCGAATGGCACTCTCACGCTTTCCACTGCTACTCATTATTTATAATTATTTGGGTTACGCGACAGAAATTGCAATGATAGGAGGTGAAACACGGATTCCTCTGCTGACGCGTCTCGATTGCGCTTACAGTCGAATCGATATTGGTTGTCAATTGTAGTATATCATTTTACTTCTGCAAATGGATGCGCGCGGTGAACCGAAAATTATTGCCATGTGACTGTATTATGTACTGACTGCATTGTTATCGATTTAGCGTCAACGCGGATCATATGTGCACGGTGAAAGAAAGGCAGTGAAAGTAGATATTACGTTTCAAGTGTTGAGTAGGGAAATAGGAAAACCCTTTTCTTTTAAATCACGCGCCCGAAGAAAAATTTCTAAGGTGTTAACATCAAAGCAATACTTTTACTTTCTTCGACTTCTTCGAGTCTCTTTCTCGATTTTCAACGTCGTCCAATGATTCGTTTTCGTCGCTTTGAGTCACTCGCGACGTTTCCAAGCATTTCCAAAGGGGCTGTTCGCAAACTCTAAAGCTCGTCGAAGCAAACCGACGAAACGAATCTTTCAATACCGTAGTCGCTGTATCTTATTAATAAAACAAGTCTCGGAGACCCGGTGTCGTAAACACGCCGTTCGAAAACTTTCGCCACCGCTGAGTTTCGATTTCCAGTTTCCCGT